AGCCATTTTGATTGTGATTCTGATTGACAGGGCCCAGTAGTGATAGTCCCAACCAAGTATTACACCGTCCCAACAGACCAGTTTAGAGATTGGGGTGTGTCACTCGTAATCTGGGCCAATCACAACATGAGGGCGTCAATATCAGCTATGCAGGATGTCACACAACAAATCTACAAGGACCAGTCATTAGTCAATGTTGAAAAGAAGGTGAGGTTTGAGAAAGGAATTGAGAATGATATTATCAAAATAAGAAATCCACTCGATTACCAGCCGGTTTTTGGGAAAATGAGCCCATGGTCCTTCCCGACTGGACTCAAGAACGGCGGAAATCGAGCCTAAAGCAAGAGAGCACCCTACCGTTGCCACTCAACAAAGTTGATTAATTTTTGACATCAGGATCTTAGTGACAACTTTCGTTTCAACTGGCCAATCAGCAAAATGCAAGAGCTACGAGAAGCAGAGATGTCAACTTCCACATTTGCGTTCTGACAATATTGACATCTCCACTTCCCACAGTTCTTGCCATTTGTTTTGCAAGTTAAATGGAAGCCATCAGATAGTTTTCAAAAAGATGTCAGAAACTTTGTCGAGTGGCAATCAATTATGGTAGCCAGGTGCCAAAATGAGAATAACTTTGAATAATTCATAAATAATAATTAAAAAATATATTTCTAATGTTTGTTTTCAGGTTGTAACAGTGAAGGAAGTTTTCCGTCTACAAAATGATGATGAATTAAGAGAAGCGGAAAAGATATACCTACCTGAGAAATGAAACATTTATTAGAAATAATCCATGGTCTTCCAAATGACCCAGTTAGATACTACAAAATTCTACTTGATCACTGCGAAGCTCAGATGAATGGTTACAAATTTATATTGTTAAAATCCTGATTAGTGTCGCAGTCAAGTAGAATTTCAAAATATCTAAATGGGCCTAGAAACTAGCAGCTTTTAAATTCTTAGAACATGTAATAACAAAGGGATGAAAAGATGTCTGAAAATATGATCCACATCTGTTTCCTGTTCAACTACACTACAGTCCAAAATTATTTTAGAATTAGTTGAAGGCCACCAATAGTCTATAGTGTGGATTCTCTGTGCTGTAATGTTTTTGGGTGTCATTCAAAATCTTTTTTAATTATTACAGTCGAACCTACCGTAACCCTAGCAAATACCTCTCATAAGCTACCACATGTCACATGAAATATCCCGCATTTCTCTTGTGTAACCAAATGATGCCTCTTGTAACTAAGCAACTAGACTGTTTGGACTGTTTTGTAGTCTGATCCTTGATGTGAGATCATAATTTACAGACAATCAAAAATGGATGACTGACAATTTACGTAGAAAATAAATTTGTTTGAACAAGAGGTACAGCTGTGTGCAACTGAATTTTAACAAATAATGTAACCTTGCGCTCTAGTGGGAGCTTAGCGGACCATTCAAGAACATGGGGTGTCTATAGTTTTGTATTTTATTAGCTTATTTTATCAGAGCATTATTCCCTATACTCATCTTGCAAAAAAAGATGTACTTTTCACACATGACAGTCGATAACCTGGGGGATAAGGTTTAGTCATATGAAAAGGTGGTTTCTGTTAGGATTTTTTTATATAAGAGGAGGGGTGAAGGCTAGATCTAAATATAATCCCATCTCTCTCCTCTGCAGAAGCTCGAAATGGAAATTTATCAAAAGCAAGATTTCAAAAGGGGATAGGGCACTCAATTTCACTTTTTGGTGAGGAGAGGGGGGGCGGTGGGGTGTTGGTTACTAAAGATGTTTACAGGTGTGTTACTAGCCTACATTATCATGCACTGTGGAGGCCATCAAGCCAGATTTTTGGTTATCAGCATAAATCGATTTTCCATGAGCTCCTGGATATTTCCAATCTCATTCCCAGAGTCCTTGTTACCCTTGTCCAGTGGTAACCTGAGATCAGGCCAATTTTTCGCGCTCTTTACATTCTCTTTACGGATGTCACGCTGTAATTTCAGCGCGACCACGTAAAGACGAATTAAAAGCGAGCACGGAAAAATTCGCCTGATACTCAGGTTAGTCCAGTGGTGGAGCGGCCAACAGGGACCTCTGGGGGGAAGCGATCCGCCATGACAGGATTATTGGACTTCCGGCTCTACTGCACATGTGTTCGACTCCATGTTTCAACTAACTGACGCCAAGATTCTTGGACTTCCAGTCTTACTGCGCAAGTCAGGCAGATCGCTTCCCCCCAGAGGTCCTTGTTGGCTGCTCCACCGCTAGACAAGGGTAACGAGGACTCTGGGAACGAGATTGGGATCTTTCTGAATAGTAGAGGTCTCAATAGAGAACTTTAGCATTTCAAACTCAACTTGGACTTGTTCAACAATACTTAGTACACTATTTTGCATAACCCATCCCCTAAAACAACAACAAACACTTCAAATGATATAAAATAATTAAAATAATTTATTTTACAACTCCAAACACTTCATAATAGAATGTGATATTTTCTTAGTTAGCTGCCTTAATTATTACTGGGTAAATTATCTGCTATCCCAAACAGATGCTTTCCATCTGAACCCATCTTCAGTCAGGGGAATAAGTGCCGTTTTTGGCAAATTGTCATTGAAGCACTTGAAGAGGCCATTTCTGAGTTGCTGTTTGCCTCTGTTTCAAAACGAGTCCTGGTGCACAACCTTTCATATGGAAATGAGCCTGATTTGCAAGACAATGAACTTGTGAGTAAAACTCATTTCCATAAGAAAGGATGTGCACCAGGACTCGTTTTGAAACAGGAAAACGGCAACTCGGAAATGGCCTATTTAATAGCGTGAGCACTTGAGTGCTCTAAAAATTGTCACACAAGCACGGTGCGGTAAGGAAACGTCATGTTGCTTAACGTGACAAAAACCATGGCCTCTTGGACTTGACTGGTACTTGTTCCCCCGACTGTCTTGTACCCAGACCCCCTGTTCCCCTTGATCAATGGTCATGAAAGTCGCCAAGTTTCACAAAATGAACACGCATGACTTAATTCTCGCTCAGACAGCTTTTGTTGCCATTGAGTCACTAGACATATGTCAAAATTAGTCGATCATCACCTTACAATGAAGACTTTCACTTTTTCCTTCTCACAACTGCATTGACTGCCATAAATTTTGTACTTTGTTAGTCAAACTTGATACATACTGGGAGTCTTCAAAATTTGTCACTGACTCTAACCACAGTTAAATATAGAGGGAAATGGTTATGAAGCCCGGCAAACTTCAAAGAAGTAAACAAAGAAGCCAAGATTTATGTTGAAAGGTCCACGACCGTGCACAATCTTTTGTTTTGTGCTCATACACTATGCATGAATTACGTAACCAAAACGTTTCTATTGGTTAGTTGCTTGAACACACGTAAACACCTATTGTATTTTGTCAGGTTTTGTGCATGGTCAAGGCCAAAAAAGCGAACAAAAAGATATAACAAAGAACTTTGCCGGGCTTCATAACCATTTTGCTCTGACTATTAACTATGCTCTAACAAGGCTTAACACTAACAGTAGCCAACTAGCCTATGAACTGAATTTCTTCTACTTTGTACAACAATATTTTCTTTTCGTCACTCGTGATCACTGCATATTGTATGGTAGCCAACACTTGCCACAAAGAAAACAGAAGATTGAAAGGGATCTTTATAATAAGTCTTGCTGAAAATTGACTCTGACAGAACACTAGACTAGTAACATAAAGATTTTTTTAAATGGTGTTGAGCCCTGCAGGGTTATATAGTGCAGACAACTGAACTGACTGACTGACTAAATAACTGGCAGTTTTTTTCATGTCCTCAATGAACCTTGCAGTGCAAGGCAAAAACAATTATATAAAAATAATGAGCAAATTAAGCTCTTAAATTATTTATAGAAGTATATTATCATGGAACATAACACAATTACGTGAACTTAGGCCCAGTTCAGATGCCGTACTTCACATGAGCCGAATTGAATTCGACGAATTAAGTTCATGTGAGGTACGGCGTCTGAATCAATTCGGAACGGCTGGATCAATTCGGATCGGCTCAGCCGTTCTTCCCGCCTGGCTCAGCCGAGAATAACAGCTGTGGACCGGCTTTGATTCAGACGCCGTACTTCACATGAGCCGAAACAAATTCATGAATTATTATAATGTATTTTTCAATATAACAGCAATCTTCGCCTATTAATTTAAGTTCGGCTGAATTAAGCTCGGCGTCTGAATCAATTCAGCCGGTCTAAATTAATTTGGGTCGGCCTAAATTCGAATTCGATTCGGCTCATGTGAAGTACGGCGTCTGAACTGGGCCTTAGACAGAAATTATATTGGCCTTGACGTCCTATAAGAGGCCAATCTGTAATTCACTACAAAACTGTGCCAGTGATGAATTGAATCTTTTCTAACTAAGATTATCAAATCACAATATGATTTAAAACTCCATAATACTGAATTCAGTAATGTCAGCAACAACAACATTAACAGCTAAAGAAGGCTTGGCTGTTTTAGTATCACAGTACCTCAAAATGTTCCCTAAAACAGTTACTAGTTTATTATTAACATAAATGTATATATCGTAACACTTAAACAGTCAAGCTCACTAAAAAGTATTTCAAGGGTAATAACAGTCTAAAATAAATTTAAGGAAGACTAAATTGTGTTCTTTGTGCTGTGTGAAACGCACTTACTATATATACTGTATTATTAACTTGAAGTTGCTAAGGGTAAATTCACCACCATTTAGGATTAAACCAGCCCCATTGTTTGAATGTTGATTAATCCAGAATCATACTTGTAGACATACGTACATGATTATGACATCTATTAAACATTGCATTTTTATTTAAAACATCTGAAACTTGTAATAAGCCTAAACTTTGTTTGAACATGATTTTCTACGTTTTTTTTTACTTGTTACACCAGGATTTTAAGTAAACCACGTGTAAGACAGTAAAGTTTTACTGCTAATTTTACACAAAAGTTTCTTGCCCAAGAACACAACACAATGACCCCAGCCAGGGCTCGAACCTGGACTGCTCGATCCAGAGTCCAACGCGCTAACCCGGCATTACTAGGACACTGTGCCTCTTACAATTTAATCCCAAGTGGCAGTTAATTCACCTTAATTTTCAATTCAAGTTGACAACAAATGAAGTGCAAAGTTTTTTTGGCCATCTCTTATTGAATGAAATTATTTACAGTCCAGTATAAGAATGCATTCTATTTAATAAATTTAAACTTATTGTTTCATGAAGCCCTGGGTATCTATATCAATAATTATTATTAGCACCATGAAGATAATGTATTCATAAAAACAAATTAGTGTTACAAAAGTGTGTTATAACAAATTCTGGGGGGAAAAAAGAAAAAGAGATCATTAAAAATAAATCAATTAATTCAAGGCAAATGCTACCAATTAATAATTCATATATTACCAATATCTCAACACCAAGTAACAAAATAACTTTCTAGATATTCCAGTGACTCAGTTTGAAGAAATTCCTTACCTGTTAATTTAAGACTGCAATTAGTATACCGACAAGTACGGCCAATGCAACAAACACGCAGATTATGATGATGATTTTTTTCTGTTGACAAACAAGAGTTGACAGTTAGTTGGTGTTATGCAGAGGGGGATCCAGGGGGGGGGGGGGCGAGGGTTGGGCAGAACTGATACTAAACCAGGTGTCAAAGGTGGTAGGTACATCAAACGCTCAAAGGAACCATGATCATAGTGTTTCTTTTTCCTCTCTCCCCGCACCAGTGATTCTCGTGGCTCATGGTTTCATTGCTTCTCACATTCACACATTCTTGGAAGGGGGGGGGGGGGACAGGGAGGTCTGAACTTCCCTCTTCCCGTACCTTGTTCTCTCGGTGTCCACTCCTTTGTGCTTCAAAATGTTATGCAATGTTGCAAAACAAATTTCCTATTTCTCCCGGCTCCAGCCACCTTGGGAATCCGCTTTCTGCCCTTCTCCTGCCTCCCATAGGCTTCCCCTGCCTCCCATAGGCTTCTCCTGCCTCCCATAGGCTTCTCCTGCCTCCCATAGGCTTCTCCTGCCTCCCATAGGCTTCCCCTGCCTCCCATAGGCTTCCCCTGCCTCCCATAGGCTTCCCTGCCTCCCATAGGCTTCCCCTGCCTCCCATAGGCTTCTCCTGCCTCCCATAGGCTTCCCCCGCACCCCTGTCCCCCATTTTTCTTTCTGTGCCATAGAAAATTGGGAAAAGAAATCTGAGACTTAACTCATAGTCTTGGGCACCCTGTGATGGACAGAGTTACTTCAGTATGTACAATACTCACCCGCCTTGCTTTACTCTGGTACTTGACAGCTTTTTTGGTGTCGCTTTTGGCTGATTGTACAAAATCAACAGCTTGTTCGACATTGTACTCAATTCTGTCAATCATTTCTCCCTGCCGATAAAATAGTTCCACTCCGTCAAATAAATAACTTTGATACCAACTACTAATATTGAGAGTACTGTAACTGGTGGGTGAACCTGACACTTTAAACGATTGTCCCAAAAATGAATAATAGCTCAAGAAACAAATTTTTGAGACCAAAAATTATTTACATTTTGAGATCATTTAACCCTTTGCAACATTGTCAAAAGTTGTCAGTACCACATGAAAGTACTGCTCAATAGCTTTCATTTGAATGGTCACACACTAGGGTTTCATCCACAGACTCAAAAGATACAACCACATTTATTGATGCAAGGTTTGACTCTGGGAGTGAAAGCGGTTAATATGAAGCTCAGGGAGAAACACATCAGAAACGCTGTACGTTACGAGAGTTCTCCCAAATGTTCACAATAGATTGAAACACATTCAGACAAAATAAAATGAAAAACATCATCATTTTTACAGCCATCTCATTATGTTGGCCACCTTTTCACCCAAACAAACATTCAGTCAAAGACAGTTATTTTCATCTAGACTACAGATCGACCCCTTTAATTTGGCTAAAATGTTAACAAAATTAGATTTTAGAGGCCAGATTAATGTAAAGTTATTAATGTACTTCCCTGCTAGCAGAGTCTCCTTTTCCGTTATTTGAGACAGGAAGAAAAGGAGACTCTGCTCTGACTCAAAATGATGTTTGATGTAACCGCCATCCACGATCGTGGATGAAATAAACCGTTTTATTTTTTAACCAGTTGTCGCAAAGTATTCAGTACGCATGCCTAATGGATTATCGCTGACTAGTAACTGAGCCCACAGTGACAAAGCGCATGCTGTTCAATGTGGCAGCTGGTGAACGTTGTCAGAGCCCACATGTGACATACAACATATGATCACATGCAAAAGTTGTTTGGTCACTTCCCTTCTCAAAATAACGGAAAAGGAGACTTGGCTAGCAGGGAATTAATGTATGTCTGACAACAGGAGAAAAACACCCAGCCTATTGAATAAATATTTTTTATTGAGCAGCTAACTTACTTGGCTTTCCACCAACATGGCCATGTCTAAAAACATCTCATGAAGTTCCTTGAAATAAGAACAAAATTTAAACATCAGTGTCCCAAATACAGTTTCATTAACATTCTCTGGAATATCATATGGGACGACTAAATTACCACAAATTAATGTATAGGAAAGAATATTGTGAATTTTTGTGTAAAATTGCCATGCCCTGCCCTCGTTCCCAGAGCAAATTTGTCCTCTCCCAGATTTTGCTTGCCAAATTATCAAAAGATTGCAGCTCCATGATAGAATGTGGTGGCCCCGACTATTTCAGCACAAAAAATAGGGGGACTGTTCACAATCTGGTCAATTACTGTAGTCAAATAGTACCCATAAATCTCGTTCCCAGAGTCCTTGTTACCCTTATCCAGCGGCTGTCACAGGCAACAAGGACCTCTGGGATAGAGTGATCCGCCTGACCTGCGCAATAAGACCGGAAGTCCAAGAATCTTGGCGTCCGTTAGTTGAAACATGGAGTTGAACACATGCGCAGTAGAACAAGTCAGAAGTCCAAGAATCCTGTCATGGCGGATCGCTTCCCCCCAGAGGTCCTTGTTGGCCGCTCCACCGCTGGACAAGGGTAACAAGGACTCTGGGAACGAGATTGGCAACAATCTGGATGTGACATTGAAGGATTGATGATGATCACGACGATGATGATTATACTGAGCAGTAAGGTGGATTTAGACTGACTAGAAACATTTACCATCATGATGGTTGTGGTAATTTTCATTTCCAACAGCTCTCAGTGTTCCCATTAACGCACAACTGTGCGTATCTGACGCACAAAAAATGAAAAGGACGCACAGTTTTTAGCCACAGTACGTCCCAGGGACGCACATAAATCAGCGCTCAAAATTTCGAGTGTTTTCATACTTTGGTCTACTCTTGAGATAAATAAGATTTTTCAAGATACAAAACACACATAAGAAACAATGTTAAAGTTTCAGTAGTTTCCTTACCTTTTCATTACCTCTCCAAGCTGGAAACTATGAAAATTTGGCTGCAAACTCGAAAACGAAGCAAGAATCACAATGATAATCACGCGAACGAGCGAACAACTCTCGGCTCATGATGGTCAGCGGTCATACTTCATGTAATATTACATGATGTGTATATCACTTAAAATGCCTTTCTCCTTAGGGGACCCTTAAAAAATAGAAAGGACCCCCAATTACTGGAACTGGGGGTCCTTGGGACTCCTGTTTTCCAAAACTAGTGGGAACACTGGCTCTAGTACATAAAACAATACCTGAATACTTTTCTCTAGGTTGATGATATCTCTGTGTCTAGCCTCTATGTCTCCAAGAGCTTGCCGTGCTTGTTGAGTCTCTATTACAATCTACACGCAGAAAAAATACAGAAAATACATGTCAGGAATCAGTTGATCTGCTGCTAAAAATCAATCCAAAATCTAACATAAAAATCCTTCTCATAATAAGACCCCTTGGACAAATATATGCATAGGGCTTATTTTCCGATCAATTTTAGTTTACATTTTTTTTTTTTTTTTTTTTTTCCTTTGTCGCAAATAAAATAATATTGCATTATTTTTATTAACTTGCTACTTGAGATCCACAGGGCATCTCATTGAGTTACATGTAGCTTGAGACAGATAGAAAAATATTTGGCTCTCAGTCATTTTGCACAGAACGCCATGACCTGAAGTCAAATATGTTCCCATCCAGCCTCCTCCACTCAGTCATTATCAGCTCAAGACATATTCCTATACACTTAGTACTTACATCAGAAGTGTAAATCGCTGGATCTCCACCTTCCAACATTTCCTCAACTTCCTCGTATGTCTTAGTTTTACCAGCTGTGACACGGAGAGAAATGCATCTGTTCAGATTTTTAGAGTTCAAAATACATTGATAGTAATTCATTCTGACTTACTAATTGAATGACTGATCGACTGACTGATTAATTAATCAACCGACTGACTGACTGACTGACTGACTGACTGACTGACTGACTTGACTAACTGATTGACTGACTGACTGACTTAACTCATGACTGACTGACCGACTGACTGACTGACCAACTGATTAATTGTCTGATCAACCGACTGACCCACTGACCAGCTAACCGACTGACTGACCGACTGATTAATTGTCTGATCAACCGACTGACCAACCGACTGACCCACTGACCAGCTAACCGACTGACTGACTGACCGACTGACTGAACGACCGACTGACCGACCAACGGATTAACTGACAATGACGACAATAACTTTGTGAACACATTACCAGGCATTTTGCATGTTTTCTATTTATTAAAACCTCCTCTAGCTGAAGAAGAAAGGATCATACTTATTTCCAGCTGCCGTTGAATTCTTGCTTTGCACTTTTCTCTGTAATCCGACTGCGTCGTGTTATAGTCACTCATCACTTCTACAAATTTTCTTGCTAAAGTGGAATGCTGAAGAACAAAAAGAATAATTTACTTATAAATACTGGAGCAGGCTACTTTAAATTTCAGAGCAATTCCCTAAAACATATTTAATATTACAGTGAACTCTCTCTTAACGGACACCTCTATAAGACAGACACCTCTATAAGACGGATACCTGGTGTTGGTCCCTGCTCGCTGTTTTTCAGTCATTTTACTGCATCTAA